TATGTGTAGGAGGTTGCTACTACTTTCCTCTCTTGTTTCATTAATGCCACAAATTTAAGGAAATGGCAGTGTGTATTATCTCTGATTTTTTATCACCCAATACACGGTTCTGTGCAGATTTATTATGGTCTTAGTTCTCATGTTGGAGTTATTAATTATATGGCGGATGGATTCTCTTGGACGCTTCTTAGATGTATTCATGAAGACCAAAAGGTTCACTCTGCACAACGGTTTGCCCTGAAGGCAGAATGCAATTCAAAATTAGCTGTTTCTCTTTCTATTATGGAGGAATCTTTTCAGTCTATGGTGGATCCAAGAACTGGAATAGACATGATACCTCAACTTGTATATAATTGGGGGTAAGCTTCAAGTTTCAAATTCTCAGATTTTCATTTAATATATTTTCTTTTCTTGCATCCATGCCCTTGGTTTTTTGTTAAAGATCAACTTCTTTGTCGATATTATGGAACTCATTCTTTTGTGATTGGGTGGGACCCCTGGTGCATTGTTAATACCATATCTTTTTTTTCTGAAATTCATGTATATATTTTCTTTCTCTAGTCCCCATATGTAGTGGATTTTGATCATTTATTGTGTTAGATTTGAAAAAAAAATAATTTTTTGTGCTAGAGTTAGAAATTGCAAAGTTATATATTCGAGAGGAATATTGCCATGAATGTGATTTTGCTTTTTTAGAAATTTCAGTTAATATTGAATCCTTGCTGGTTTCTTCTGTCTGTTTATTGAATACCTTAGCTTATGTAAGTTATGTTGTTTAATCGACTGTTCCTCAAACTTATGTGAACTCTTAAGTTTATTCTAGTTAAGTTTAAATAATTGTTTAAACTTCTGCTGGACAAGATTTTAAGTTTAAATAATTGTTTTACTTTTCTGCATTGATCAGGTCAAATTTTGCTCGTCTAAACTTTCATGGATTTTACACAGTGGTACTTGAGAAGGATGATGTGCTGATATCTGTAGCATCCATCAGGTATCATATAGCTGGTGCTCTTTTGAACTCTGCATGAGGATAGCTCCAAATCAGTCACAAGCTTAAAACCAATTGATCCTATATTCCTTTTTGCATAACCAGCAAAACCCAGTAAAGCTAACCTCATTAATGTGCAGTATAGGCCTGTATGTTGTTTTTGGCTCGTAAAACTTGATTTTACAAATAGTAGTAATGGCCCTTCTGGTGTAGAACAGGAAGAGTTAAACAGGAAAAACAGAAGAGAAATATGAAATAACCGAAGGTGAAGACCTTGGATCTCAAAATAACTCTGAAGCTCTTAACTGCATGCAATAATTATCATAATCTATATAAAACTGCAATATGTATCTCTTTGCAGGTGCACACCAATGTACATTCAATTAAAACTAAACGGTCATATAAAATAAATCCGAAAATGATTCTTAAAGTCCTAAAGCTACTAATATTTCTGTTCTAAAGAAAAAACTATTGATATTTTGTAAATAATCAATTAGAAGACAGTCTGAATCCACAATGTATGTAGATAATTCTTAAACTTCCTAAAAGAACAATAATCAAGATCTAATTGTTGAACTGTCAAGAAATTTTTTATGGTTAATTTTCCTTTGGATAATTAATTATCTATCTTAATGTGTCACTTACTATAATATTAATTCCAGGGAATCCTCCTTTTAATATCTCTATACCAACTTTGGGATGGTTTAATATGTTGAAAATATTATTCCTTCAGTAACTTTCCTGTTGAATCTTATCTACTGACATTTGTGGCAATTGTGCTACCTTCTGTGTTTCTTTAATACTTATTTACGCCCAAACCTTTAATCTTTACAGGGTGCATGGGATGACAGTTGCAGAGATGCCTCTCATTGCAACTTGTAGCAGTTATCGTCGGCAGGGAATGTGCCGACGCCTTATAACTGCTATTGAGGAGGTATCTTGTTGTATGGCTATGCTTAGATCTGTTTAATTTATAGCAAGTGGCTGTAATTTTATGTGCAAGAGATTTTTGTACTTTGAATCTTCTAACTTCCCTGTTTCAAATGGTTGAACATGTTTTCTTGTGAGAAATTTGTCATTCATGCAGTTACTTATTTAGTCACTGGATGTTGATCCTAGCATCATATTTAAAAATTATTGTATTTCTCATAGGTTGCCTTCATAGCCGACCTGTAACTTACTGTTTTCCTCTTTCTTTGTTTTTTTGTTCTCAATGGTGGTTCTAGATGCTTATCTCTTTCAAGGTGGAAAAACTTGTAGTAGCTGCCATTCCAGCTTTAGTGGAGACCTGGACAAAGGGATTCGGCTTCGAACTTGTAGATAGTGAAGAAAAGAAAAGTCTGAATAAGATCAATTTCATGGTGTTTCCAGAGACACTAATGCTAAAGAAATCCCTTTACAAACCTCCATCAGGTAATCTCCGTTCCCTAATGGTTCTGGCTTATTATCTTTAAATTTACTGAAGAACTTCTAACTCTGCTGGTCAGGTGACAACTTACCCTGTGAAAAGGACAAATCAATTAGTATTACTTGTCTGAATGGGAATCCCGTGGATACATCTATTCCTGGATTTGGTGGTGAATTGGGCTCCTATGAAGTTGGTAAATGGATGGAAGACAGACCTACAGAGGAGAAAGATTTACAGGAGTTTGAGATTGGCAATCAAATGGAAATTGCTGACAGTGATGATGAACCACCTCCAGGTTTTCCAGTGCCCTTCAAGATTAAATAAATGAAGTGTAGATTTTTTTAAAAAAAAAAAAAAGAAAAAAAAAAAGAAAAAAAAAAGAGAAACTGAAGTATATACCTTTTCCAAAGGTAAGTCTGCCATTGTCTCCGTACTTACAATCAATGGAAACTGTTGCCATAAACTGAAAATTAGATTGAACCTGGAATGAAATCAGAATTATTTGGAGGGAAAGAGTTGTCTGAGAAGTTCTTTTATAGCTATTTCATGGTTACTGTTTAGTTAGGAGAGCTGGTAGCAGAGTGGACATCTGAATCTTTGCAGCAAGCTGGGATTGACCAACTTGAACATGTAGATGTTGAATCTGAGAAGTAGAATTTACAGATAGGTAAAAACCGAGAAGCCGGTTTGCAGAGACAGTTTTCAAAGAGGTCCTGCAAAGATCTGGTCTCAACTCCAGGGAAAAGTTAATTGTTTCTTGATGTTCGATCTTTTCTGTATCTATGATGAAACAAAAACGTTTTTCAGATAAACAGCTATGGTCACCCTGTTGGGTTGGATTAGATATAGAAATGAAACTGTATATTTCGGAAAATTGCAGGGCCATTTTCTTGCATTTTCTTTTTGGTCATTTATATGGTTAACTTATCACCTATGATCATGTGCTTTCTTCCATTCCCATTCGTATACGAGCTCCATCATAGGACAAAAAATCAGCTTTTGATCCCGGTACTAGTAGTGCTTATTGTCTACTGGTGAGTTTAAAAAGTAAACCTTAGCTTGCTATATATATATATATATGTGTGTGTGGGTGTGTATAATAGAAATATATGTATATGTATACACGCACATCCACAACGACTCGCAATCTGTCATAAGTAACTGAACTGTAGGGGATAGAGGCCCCTTAGTATAATTTAGGAAACTCTTCACTATCTTCGAAAGAATTGTATTAAGTATACATGTATATATATATGTATAAAACTTATGTTTTCTTCAAACTTTTTTAGTGGATGTTACAAGATTAACTTTTCCGGCAACGAGTAGCTCACAACTCAGAACTTAAAATCTTGATGAAAGTGGTAATGGATATAGTTCTGATATAATAATTTAAAGTTTCTTTATAGAAAACTTACTTACACAGTCGCTTCAATTTATTAAACGTAGGTGAAAATATTTTTAAAGGTAAAAATATTTTCTTTAAAATTTTAAAAACCTAAACTGTTTTATATGATTATAAATAATAAAAATAGTTACTTTTTTTTTATTATTTAAAAAATCCACTGTTGTCACTTCATTTTTAAATTAACCTTTAAATTTTCTATTTTTAAAGAAAAACATAAAAACTAGTTTTTTAAAAATTTAATTTATTTATTTATTTTTTTTTGCAAACTAGAGTTCTGAAATATCATATTACAAGCAACCGGCGTCACTGATCAGATTTTGCGCAGTAAAAAACCATAGCCATCAACGACGAGCTGCGGAAGCTCAACAACTCAAAATCCCAGCTTGACTCACTGAGTCTCCCCCCTTTCTCCTCGCTTCCTCTCTACACTGCAAATGAAGTGAATGAACCCTAAGATTTTCACTTTCATCTCTAGAACAATGCCATCATCTCCTAAATTCTTCCACGCCCGCTCATCACCCTCCACGCGCAGATCAACCGTCTTGGTTGTCTCCGCCTGTCTCCTCATCGGAATGGTTGGATTCGCCGTCGGACTCGCTACCATCCTCTCCGCGAGTTACCGGCAGGGCTACAACTGCCTCACCAACCGCCAGCCCACCTCAGTACGCGTAATTTGGGACTCTAACAGCAACTATAAGCTTAACAATGGCATTGTCGATGTTGAAGTGAAGAGACACAAAGTGATGGCGTTTGTGGGCATTCAAACCGGGTTTGCATCAACAGGTCGCAGACGGTCCCTTAGGATGACATGGATGCCGTCCGATCGGCAAGGTCTTCAACGGTACCGATCTCTTCCCTTACTCACAATCACTTAGCGATTCGTTGGTTGATTTGTTCTCCATTTAGGAGTTGATTCTCATTTATTCATCTCTATGGGAAAATTCCGAGCTAATGTAATAATAGAATTCATTTCTCGCTCTGAACTAATTTGTTAAGGAATGAGGTAGGGCGAAAGGAAAATTCTAAGGATTCTTATAATTGAGGGCTTTCTTTCCAATTAACTAATCATTCATTTGCATAGTTCTTAGTTTTGCTGTTGCCATAATTTGTTAAATTGCTTTAGCCAAGTGGTTACTGCTTGCAGCTTGGAAGAGTCTACTGGTTTAGCTTTCAGGTTTGTTATCGGTAGAACAAAGGATAAGGCAAAGATGGAAGAACTCAGAAAGGAGGTTGCCGAATATGATGATTTCATGCTACTAGATATTGAGGAAGAGTACAGTAAGCTCCCATACAAAACGTTAGTAGTAACAATGATATTACAGTGTAATTTCTTTTTTGGTTGGATCTTGTAATTCTTTTTTGGGTAAAGTCGGATCATGTTTTTAACTGTGGATATGATCATTCACAGGTTAGCCTTCTTCAAGGCAGCATATGCTCTCTTTGATTCTGATTTCTATGTCAAAGCTGATGATGACATATATTTGAGACCAGGTGACAGAATTTACTGATCTTATACACCCAAATTTTGTGTTATATGTTGGTGCATGTGTATATGTGCATGCTGGCATTTGTTTTGATGAGGTGCATGAGTTGGGCGAGCTTTGTTGGACTTTTTCAGATTTCTCATGGTTCACCGTATTTTCTTGTTTTATTTATTTTTAGACCGCCTTTCATTGCTATTGGCTAAAGAACGTCCTCACTCTCAGACTTATCTTGGATGCATGAAAAAGGGTCCAGTTTTTACTGATCCAAAGCTTAAATGGTTAGTCTAGCTATCCACATTTATATTATATAATTTTCACTCTCCCTTTCCTTTTCTTTTCCTCTCCATTCAACTTCTTTTTCTAATATCTCTTTAGTTGAATCATAGCTGATGACTTAAAACTTCGTTTAAATGCTAATTTTCTTGTTATCTTTGATTGTATGATACAACTACTTTTGTTAAAGACATTAAGTCACTTTAAATGGAAGTTTATTGAAGGGTTACATTGATGCAGTGCCAATTTGATCATTCTTAGGGTTAGGAGATGATAAAAAATATTTGCTATCAGATTATTGCATATAATCTGATATATAGATTTATTTTAGTAATTACTAAGACATTGTTATTGTGTAAGTAACCCTGATAAAACAAAAATTATCCTCAATCAAATATCACCAAGAAATCAATTTTTGTGTGTCTTTCTCTTATAAGAAAGTAAAGGTGTACCCTGCATATTCGTTATGGAGGTCTTGATGTTCAAAGAAATATGTATTTGATGAATTTACCAGATCATGTTTCATACAGGTATGAACCTTTATCCCGTTTGCTGGGGAATGAGTACTTTCTTCATGCTTATGGTCCAATATATGCTCTTTCTGCTGATGTTGTGGCCAGTTTGGTTGCTCTCAGAAACAACAGGTGAGTTATTTTCCCTCAACAATTAACTACCCTAAATCATTTGTTATCATCTAAATAATTATTGGTATTACATTGTGGCTTTTATTTATGGATAATAATTTACCTAGCTAAATCAATTTTTTCATTTTGAGAGATGATGGCATTTAGTGGAGTTAGCCTTGATGTTTCTCTTCAGTTTATGTACCTGGTCTGCACCTTTAGTTGGACCTCCGTTTGAGACATTGCCAGCCTACACTTGCAAATAGCAATTCTTTTTTTTTTTCTTTTTTGCCCATTTTTCTCTCTATTATTTAGCCTCTTCTGGTGGCTTGGGGATAGTCGGCAGGCAAATTGGTTGTGAGGAACTCCATTAGATTTTATATTGAGATTGGACAATGATTTCAAGATTTGCTATCCAGCCTGTGCTTGGCAGGAATTTCTTAGACTATGAAAGCTCTTTGCTTGACAAAGATAGAGAAGGTTATCAAAATTCATTGCTATTATGGAATCCTTGCTTGCATATGACATTTATATGTTTTCATTTGGGACTACAGTTTCCGGATGTTCAGTAATGAGGATGTTACAATTGGTGCCTGGATGCTTGCAATGAATGTTGACCATGAAGACAATCGAGCACTATGTGAACCAGAGTGTACGCCATCTTCTATTGCTGTTTGGGATATTCCCAAATGTTCAGGTTTGTTGGCTTGTAAATTGACAATATAGGCAAATTGGTCCCTTAGATAACTATAATTGTTCGTTTTCCTGGTAATGTACTTTTCTTCCTGAAGTCTTAGAACATCCTACTGAAACCCTCTAAATTGCTGCGTATGCAACAGAGTAGAATTTTGGAAGAACATAGAAAAGCTCAACCCGGTTGTATTTAGTAGATTAAATCCAAAAGAGAGGATTTTGTACTTTGTAATTTAATGCATACCATATAATAGCAATCTATTGCAACAGAAGGTAGAGCATCTCAATTGTCTAAGATTTTAGCTCGCGATTCCTTTTAACTTGAGAATAGCTATTCCTTGAGTGAATTACGTAAAAATACCTTGTCCTTTTAAGATTTAAACTTTTAATTGCATTTTTTTAGGACTTTTAGTTTTCAATTGATTAGGACCTTCCTATCACTTTTTGGGTACACCCACAAGAAGGGAACATAACATACTGTTAGCTAGAAAGCAAAGGATTGAGCTGATTAAATGCCTTTCTTATAAAATAAAACGGAGCTGATTTTCATGGGATTCAGTATTTGGAGAAAATAAGTAATGAATCTAATTAACTCATTATGAACTAGATGTGTGAAGTTTGTGAGAGAAATTAAAGATTGCAGGTCCGAAATAAGCAATTGGAAGCATAAGTTGCAATTTGATACATTTACATGACATTTTTGCATGATCTAATGGTATCAATGCTACTACTTTCTCATTATTAATGTCATGAAAACTTCGCTTTAATATGAGCTTTTTATCAAATAGGAGGAATGTTTATTTATTTCTGTTGGAAGTTCCACTGATTGATGCATTTTGTTGTAGGGCTTTGTAATCCAGAAAAGAAGTTGTTGGAACTCCATAAAATAGAGAGCTGCTCAAGTAGCCCAACTTTTGCATCTGACGATGAATAGTAGTGCTGCTAAACTTTAATTTGGTCAAACAAACAAGGTAACTCAGGAAATTGTTCTTTCAACTACAGTGTAACCAATTCTTTATAGTCCCAAATCCCCAATCCGCAATTATCTTTTCCTTTTTTTGTATGTAATATATTATTTCTTCGGATGATATGCAAGTTGGGAAAAAATGAAACTTTTACACTAATTTTCTTTTGTCAGAATTTCAGTTTTTTTTTCATTTTTTTTTTGGTGGGGGGGAGTGAGGGGAGAGGGGGGCAAGTGTCTCAAGGAAGCCGATTTCCTATGTAAACTAGTTTCTTTGCAAGAAGCAGTTCTCAGCTATAACAGTATGTTGATTTAAATAACTTTTCTCAATTTGTTTGCTGGAAAAGAGAGAGTTAAGATTGTTTATTTATCTGATATCATGGGAAGAATTTGTCCTCCAGATCCCTTTCTCTTCTATCAGGTCTCAATTTTCTTTTCTTAAAGCCTCCTCAACATCTGACCTGTGTTTGTACGGAGTCTGAGTAGCTCTTAGGATGTGCTTCAAGTGCTTCCAATCTTCCCCGGATATAACCCAAATAATGGAAGAATTTTCCCTTATGTAGTAGTAGTATCTGCTTTATAATTACTGAAAATTGTGCTGGGGGCTAAACTAATAATTGTGCTAATCAATAACCAAGTGGTAACAGGTTGTGGTTTAGGTAACACCTCAAAAGCCTGTGTCTTTAGTGTAGGCTCCCTTTGGGATACAAGAGCATGTGCTAACTCAAGCTTTTGTACAAGTAGGGTATGATTGCCCTGATAAATGCTCTGCTTTTGTGGAATTTATTAGTCATCCAAGTGCCAAAAAGAACAAGGTACCCTCATTAAGGACAAACAGGGAAGAGAAGGAAGACGCTGTATTGGAGGATGTCTGTTGTCATGTTTTCCAGCTTATCTACTCTAACATTGACCATGCTAAAATGCTGTTCTGCTCCCTTAATTTTTTCTTTTTTCAAATTGCTGGGCATCATTTCACCAGATGGCTTAAAAGTAGATAGCAACTGTATTTACATGGTGATGGGATAATTTGTGCAAGGAAACAAAATTCACAGAAAAGGACTATTTAGTTAAGCAGTGGCATAAATGCAATTACAAGTGCCACTGCTTTGAGGAAATCTGGTTTCTCATTCTATCATCAAGCCCCATGTGACCACCTCTCTCTCTCTCTGATCCACTTAGTTTGATGGTTGTTATGGGTGCCCATGTGTGTTATGGCAGTCCAGTAGTGCTTTCTCTGAACAATGCATATACATATATATATCTATATGTGGGCTTGCCAATGCATGTGGTTGACGTTCTTAATAGTAGCGTTGTTGCTTTGTCGTGCCTTTGATAATGTTGTTGATTTATATGCTTGCAAAGTCATAGTTTGCTATACTGGCATTTGCCATTTCATGGAGTCATGGTCCCACCCCTAAAAGACATGATCCATTGGTTTGAATAAGAAACCTTCTATGTTTTCTGCTGTTAAATAATTGACATTATTTGATTTGATTAGATTAGCTTGAGGATCTCGTAGAAAATCATTTAGGTTTAAGGTTTATCTTCTTTTAGGAGGGAGAGAGAGAGAGAGGTGTCAGTGACTCGAATTCAAGTTAACTCTATTATGGTGATGCCTAAACAGGGTCTTTTTTTTTTTTTTTTTTTTAGAGATACCAGAAAGATCATATGTAGAAAATACATAACCCATTACTTTAATTAGGGTTGAAACGAGAGATGATTTTGGAGGGCATTAATAATATGTCTGGTGAAAGAAACAAGATTAGTTAAATGAATTTGAAATTAAGAAGCATCTAGGTTCTACCAAACAAAGGAGTAGATTCAAAGCCAAGGTTTACTTTACCCACACCTCATTATTAACTTAATTAGGATTAATTAGAATGATTAAGAGGGAATTAAGGGTAGTATGGAAGGCAAATCGATGAGCAAAATTGGTGTTTCGAATGATTGATGATTTGATTGGACATCTCATGAAGTAATAATTATTTTCATGGCCCTTCCCATTTTGTTGTTACTATTATTAAAAAATTATTATTTAGAATACATTAATATATATATATATATATATTTTTTGAAATATGTACTTATTTTGTTTGTTAAAATTATAAAATTCTTTCCAAAATGATAAAAGTTGACAACAATAAAATAAAAATATATTTCTTCTCTCACCAACAACACACGGGGTTGCTACTAGTTAAAAGACAAGTCTTACACTTTAGTGAAAATTATAAATTTAAATTTTACTTTATAAATAAATATATTATAAATTGACGGGGTTGATTAATAATATTTAATTTAATAAAATTTAAAATTTTAATTTATTAATATATTAATAACACTTCAGTTACCGAACGAAATAAAAAAATATGTATATGTTTCCTATCTCAAGTGGAAGTCCAATGATGTTTTCTTGTATGTATCATGATTATATGTACGTCCAAATATGTATATAATTCAATCTAGAGTGCATATAATATAATATATATTATTGTGGATGGTGGTAAATTAGGTTTAGTCGGCTAACTATATATAAATAATTATATCACCCTGTAAATTCAAACCAGATTGTATAGATAAGAGTACTGCTGATTAAAATACATATTTATAATTTAGAAAGGCTGAGGAAAAACTTGTAATTACAAACCATATTTAATTATGAATTTCTTATCCATCCAAAACATATTATTTTTGGTGATCAAAATGTTGTCATGCGAGAACATCATCCTCATTTCAAGGGAAGTAATTAACAACTTATGTATATTTATATCATATATCTATATATATTTATATCTAATCTATCTTGGAAGTTTATAATAATTTCAATGGATGGTGATGTTATATGTTTGTGTGTGTATATATATATATATATATATATATCCTATATGCATATATATGTATGTATAAAGATGTTTCCCCCTTTATGAAAAAAAAAAAAAAAAAAAAAAAAGGAAGGAATCCATGTGACTGCGGCAACATAATGATTTCTCACAACAAAAAATGGAGTTTGTAACAGCATATGATCACAATATTCATTATTTCTCAAATCTAAACAAAATGGGCATCGCTCGCCATTACACCTCCTGAATTCCCTCATTTTTATGTGTATACGAATGTATGTATACAGACACACACATAGAACAACGATAATTATGAGAGCAATACAGCTACATGATTAATATGACTCTAAAGTTTAACCAAGTTAGTTTTTTATGAGAGGATATATATATATATATATATGTATGTATGTATTGGGTCTATCAGAGACAAATACATATATATGTATATATAGATTATGAATGATAAACATATTAATAAAATAATATTAGAGAGGAATGTAAATAAAGCTAATAAATAGGAAACAAAAGAAGGTGGAGTAATGACAAAGTACCAGCCTAGCCATGGAGCAACTTTTCATTCATCATCCAAATCTCTTTCGTTCAGGAATCCAATGTCTTCCCTCATCACATATATAATCAATTCCATATATACAGTAAATTTCTTAGACAGCTTAATGAAAATAAAACAAATTTAATCAATTATATATATATATAGAGAGAGAGAGAGAGATAGAGAGAGAGAATAAATTAAGCACTAAAATCTGTGCTTCTCTTCCATCATATATCCATATATCTACTGACACTTGTATACTTTATACACCCATATAAATGTATGTATATATATGTGTACATGTATGTAGAAGGGTCAAGTATAATAGTACCGTGACAGCCATATTTGTTTTGGGATGATGATGATGGATGACGATGCATGGCTTAGACTGGAGGTCTCCTTTTCAGCAAGAGTGTCAGTACTGGTTTTGGCAGGCTCTATACATATATTATATATACGAACTCCCATATACTTATTCCTTCTTTTTCTCGAGTGACTCAAACCCAAAAATTAATAATAACACCAGAAATATTTTTCTTTAATTCCAGGCTTTAAATCTCTTCATCCAGCTCAGTCAATATCTATATATTGCTAATTTTGTATATAAACATATACACATTGAAGAATAATTCTATATATATATATATATGTACACTACAATGTACATATAGCTAGGTTAAGGACAAGCTGGCAGCAACACCCAAGAGAGGAAATGAAAGTTCATCACCCTTACCCATCAGCTTAATTCTCCAAAATCCTAATAATAATTAATTATATATCAATAAAATTAGAACTGCTCTTTATATATATATATATATATCTCTATCCATTATGTTAACGTCATAAAGATATATATAGATATAAAACACAGATATCCATGTGATGAAGATGATGCGTGATTATTGGCTGGGTGGCCTCTGCTCGCTGCAGTGTATATAATATGTATGAATGCGGGTGAGTGTATATATATACGCGTAAGAATACGTATATAATTATATCTACGTATATGTATGAATGTGGGTGAGTCTATATGAAGTACAGAGATATTGTATAAAATAATTAATTATATATTACCCATTATGTTAACTTCATATAGATATATTATATATATATATAGATATAATACACAGTTATCCATGTGATGAAGATGATGGATGATTATTTGCTGAGTGGTCTCAGCTCGCTGCAATATATAGATAATATGTGTGAATCTGGGTTGGTGTATACGTATATGTGTAAGTATAGGTATATATATATATATATATATATTAATCCTTAAAATATCTTGTGAAAGTCCGTACAGAAGTCACAGAGCATCCAAAGTTGAAGACATTCTAAGTTGTAGCAGCTGCTTCTCACATGTCTACTTCACTTCTCTTCTATTCTTTGGAAATTGAGCGCATCTTCTCTCTTACCCTCTGCAACTTCTGTAATTAAGTGATTAACAAATTCTCCCAAATATATGTTTAATTTAATTAATTCACTTATTTACTGTAGATTTAATTAATTCACTTCATGTAAATAAGTTAGTTTTAAGTATATACATACTGTACACCAATAGTATATATGTATTATTAGATATACAAGATGGGTCTAGTAAAAAAAAAAAAAAATTTGCATATCCATTCATAGAGGAAAGTCCTTAATTTATATATGTGTGTGTGTGTGTGTGTATGTATATATTATATAATATGCATCTTGTCAAGTTTGACTTTGGATTCAACTATACATATAATTGGTTCTAAATATCATTTCATTCACACATTATATACATATTTCTTATTTTTAGTACCAATTAATTGGAGGTAGCAACAAGAGGGGAGATATATATATGTGTGTGTGTGTGTGTGTGTGTAAATAGCCTATAGCAACATATATATATATATATATATGTATTTTTGAAGGCATGAAAGTCTAAAACTGACACCATAAATATAATGGCAGATGAAAACCCTAAGAAGAATTGTCTATATCCTAATTCCCCACTAATAAATTATTTTTGACCAAGTAACTATTCAAGATCTAATTCAAAATAAAAATTTATTCGAGAAAAAATTAATATATATTATATTTTCTAGTACGTTTAAATATATGTTATTCTTGATTTAAGTAAGAATTGAATTCTTAATCTTTAATTTAAACCAAGATTCAAATAACTACATAATTAAAATCTGTTAACTAATATATATATATACTATAATTGATATATGTATATTTATTATGTTGAGAAATACTATAAAATAGGCATACAATCTCTGTCACTAACTTCAATATTAGTATACTTACTTTTCTACTAAAATTTAAACGAAATTTTAGCATCTACTTTAATAAATTAAACTACAATGAACAATAAATTCAGTGCTTGTTGGTGTTAAAAATTAAACAAGTTAATTAATTAGTAAAAAGTAGACGACGGTTCCGTACACATTCCTCCCAAAGCAACTTCTTCTTTTGATGTTTTTTAATGGCGTTATTCTCCTGAGAAAGAGCACCCAACTACATTCATCAAAAAAGAAAACCCAACTGTGTCCTGTCTTTCTCCGTGGCATGGATTTCGCTGCAGGAGGAGTCTCTCCCCCGATCCTCTGCTGCCAATGTAAAGACTTCAGCTTTTCTCTTCTTTTTGTCTTTTCTTATAATCTTACTACTGTTTGCGTATTGTTTATGAATCTATCCTTCATCTACTTGCTCCGAAAATGTTTTAGGTTTAAATTCAATGAGAAATACAGAATATGTGGGGGTACTGGGTTCTTTTTTTTTTTTGAAATCAGATTCTGTTTTTTTTTTTTTTTTGGGTTTGTCTGTTTTTTGAATGCTTATGTTCTTGTCACCACAAAGGAAAGTTTGTATAACAGATTCTGACTTGATATTCGGCATGTACTGTAGCTTAATTAAGTTGGTCTGACCAGTATGTATGTAGACTTTGATGATACTGATTGTAAATCCAATTCAAGTTAGATAAGGTGTTAGAGGCAAAATGGCAAGTTCTGAGATGGAGGGTTAAGGGTGAAAAATGTGATTTTGTTTCGTTTATCTTTGCTCTGAATGAGGTTAAACTGTGAGATGGTTGAAAGGAGCAAGAGCTTTGGTTCGTGATTCCCTATGAAAAAGCTCATCAAGCTTTTATTTGATGTGTTTTGGTGGGAGGGGAGGTTATTGCACGGGCCAGGAACTATGTTTCACATGGTCGATCTATGAAATTTAACTGGTCCAACTTATAATTCTGACAAAATCCCATCTGTAATTGGATGAGAAAATGTTGTAGTCAACCATGTTAGTGTGGACCAGACAATGCAATAACGTTTCATGAGGAAAAATATAAGAGAGCTGACATCCGAGAGAGATAGCAATAGATGGTTTCTCAGGTTGAGTCTCTGCCTCACAAGCTTCTAAGAGGGCTTTTTTGTTTAGAGGTGTATCTTTGATTTCACCTACTTCTTTTTTTCTCTTTTCTGCACATACTAACCTAAAAGTCTTGAAATGGTTAGATTCTCATAAGCTAGTTTTGAAATTCATAGTGTTTATGATAAAATTGATGAGAGTTCAATCAAATCTGTGATTGGAATTGAATTTGAGAAACCACCTTAGATGTCCATTCTATTTTGATTTGTCGAGTTACATATGGTGTTCGAACCAAAATATACGAACTATTGCATATGAGGAAATTGAAACTCTCAAAGTGATTGCAGGATGTGAAAAAGGGTTTGTGTGGGGAACTAGACATGGAAGATCCAAACAAATCCCTTCAAGACTAAGTCTACCATATTGGTCCAATCATGTTCCCTACCGTTATATTGGGTCAATATATAAGTTATATCCCACTTATGACTTTGCTGTTCCTTTGTTGACAATATAGAAAGTGTTAAACAGACGATCCTGCAAGGCAAAGTTTGGTTCGTTCACATTTATTTGCATCTGGCCAAGGCGCAAAAAGACAGGAAGTGCTGGAGGGAAGGCCAAAATGTACATGAGAGATTATGAATAGATCAGACTAATGGAAAATTGACGCAGTAACATTAATGTACTGGGAAATGCTTTAGAGAAAGAAATTAGGAAAGACTAGGATGGAAATCTCATGCAGTTGACACGCGATTTTGCATCTTGAAGAATATGTCTTATGTAGCTGAAGTTCACACGCGATCAACCTTGTCTGGATAGAATTTATCTATCTAATGACAGATAAGAATGTAATTCCTACAGGAATTGTAAATTTTTCATCATTCTTTCCTTTTATTTCTGGAGTACATGTTTTAATTAATGGAGTGAATTCACTACTGCTGGACTACATTCAATTTGTGTTTTTTATACATGCCATTAGGATTAGGAGTATGTGGGAGGGAGAAGTCGATTTGCAACCGTCAGTTCTTCTGATCTAAAAAGGATCTGGCTTAAGGCCCTATTATTTTGAGTTTTGTTGACATGGAATTTGTTGTAATACTTCCACTTTTCTTGATATAAACTGAGAAGTAAGGATGATTTACACGTGGATTATGAAATCTTTTACAGATCAGAAGTGTGCCATGGATTTAATTTCATTGAGCTGTAGTATCTTTCACATATTAAGCAGTGAGGTCGATCCTCGCGATTGTAGCCGGAGAAAGATGGTTTGTCTTTGGATTTGCTGATGCATGCATAAAAGGAGAAACTGCAATTCTCAAGGATTCAACATGGAAAACTTGAGCACAGACAGATAACTTGTTAGAGAAAAGAAACTACTTCCTGATATTCAGAATCTNNNNTTTTGGTCATTTAGTGAACTAACTTATGCTTAAATGAGGATGAGGGTTGGATCCATGACATTGTACCTAAAAGGAATTTAGAATATTATTCTCACACCATTTCCATTTCCAAAACCTATTTACCTTCTCTTATTAATATAATTTCTAAATTATTTTTTAAATATAAATAAATCGAACAGAAAAAAAGATAATGTTTTTTTATTTTTTATATTTAATAATTTAATCTTCGTGTTGTTTAATGCTTATAACACAGACAATTTATGTATCACTTTTTATTTTTATTCTATATTTAATTATGAAGTCAAAAATAAAGTACTTAAATCATATTCATACATATAGTCTTGACGTTAAAAAAAAAAAAAAAAACAATAATTTTTTTAATAAAATAAAAATTAAATCAGGTTTTTAATTCATTTTAATTACTTCAATTAATAAAATTTTATCATCTTAATTTTAATAATATGTTAATGAAATAAATTATTAATTATTTAAAAGTTATTTATAGTACGTGTGTATATAATTTAATTAATAACTATAAACATTATCTTTTAAAATTTTTTATAAAATTAAAAAAAAAAAAACTTTTTTATTAAAGATGTCACCATAAATCATGATATATTAAAACAAAAGAGGTGAAATTACATCTGTAAAACAAATAAATCCAGCTCAAAACAAATTTATAGCTTCATCATTTTTTTATTTTCCTGGTCAAACCACCTTTTGGACAGGGTTGAAACGGTAAAGAGCAAGAACTAAATTGATGCCACGTGGAGATCGAAGGTTGTTCTTATGATGAACCGCGAAGCAGAGGATCACACAAGCTGCTTACCTGGCACGAATTGGATCGCCCGGTCATCATTCCCCTTCTTCTCTGTGCCACCACTGGTTTATGGCGCTTCTTCTCTGCTGTCACCATCCCGTCAAAAACTACCTTTAACCATCCATCTGCGTGTAGCGTGGAAGTCCCGACGCCGTTGTCCGTCTCCGTTATCTGCTTAGCTGGATGCGACTGTTGTTCCTACCTCTCTTCTGAATGGAGCCAGCTGGCAGGCCACTCTCTCCCGCACATGGCCAGCTATTCTGTCTCAGACTGGTTCTCTTATTTTACCAAACCACCCTCAATCCTCCTCCTTAGTTACAATAATACCACTGCGACCCCAGTCTCTGACTTTGGTAATAAACGGCACGTTCGAAGGGTATTGATGTCAATGTGTTTATTATTAATTTAATTTAATGGAGAAAAAATTCAAGATAAAAAGGTCGTGTTGCGGACATAATGGACCTACTTTGAAGTGGGGCCAAAAACAAATCTGTTTGACACGTGGATTATTAGTTAGCTTATTAGAAACGGTCGCCCTAAACAGCTTGGTCAAATCTTGTAATCTGAATGTATCAACAAATGATGTGGGAGGTAAATAATTATTGAAGATTTGGGATTAAATGAATTAAATTCAATTAATAAATAAAAAAATGAATTATTTAATTAATAAAATAAATAGGAATAAAAAAAAAATTATTGGAGGAGAGTGACGACGAACATTATATAAACCCAATTTTACAAATGCAGAAAATTTATTTTTAAATTAATTAAAAAGATGGAGAGAAGAGAAACCTGTCTCGTGAAGCACCAGCTGAAGAACGAAGAAAAAAAAAAAATTAATTAAATAAATAATTTATTAGTCTTCTTCTTCTTCTTCTTCTTCTCCTTCTTCTCTCTCTCTTAAAACCCCCTCCTCTCTCTCTCTTAAAACTCTCTTACCTCCTCTGTCTCTCTCTCTCTCTCAACACACTCACATTCATTCTTTGCTTCCTCCTTTTATATCACGAGATCCCCATCTCTTTCTTTCTTTCTTTCTTTCTTTCTTCCTCTTCCCTCTCTCGCTTAATGTCTTCTTCAAAGTCCTTGAGTCTCAGTTTTTCCTCTTTCTTTGCCTTTGTTTCTTGGAGCTTTCTTTCTTCTACTTCGATTGACGGATATTGCTGATAGTCTAACATTCTTTAAACAAAGTGAGACAGCAAGGCGGAGAGAGGGAGGGGAAGAGTACTTAAAGTGCCCTTTTCTGTCGGTTGGTTGTTTGCTTGTTCAGAAAATGTCGCATTCTGGAAAACCTATTTCGGACCCAGGGTTAACTGAACTTTCCGATCAGCTCCGTGACTCACTCGGTTGGGATACTAACAAGCCTGATTTCCGTGAACTCGATCTGGGCTCGCCGGTTTCCCCACTTCGGACTCGTCAGACTGGACTTGCTCCAACTACCACTACAACTACTACCACCACCAGTAGCAGCTCTAGCTCATCCGGATCTGTGACTGGTCGAAATGCGGCCAATCAAATTCCGAAAAGGCCCGAATCCTCCCGTAACAACTCCGGCGAGCTATCCGGCTCTAGCGAGAATAGTCCGACAGCCACGACCCGGAATCCTAAAACTGGTCAGACCAGATCCGATTCGGGGACCACCCAGCCGTTAATCTACTCTGGGCAAGGCTCTGTTACCTCCCCGCCGGTGAATGTACTTCCCACTGGAAACATCTGTCCGTCAGGGAAGATCTTGAAAACCGGCATGGCAACCAGCCGGAGTCCAAGAAGCGACATGCTGGGATCCGGGTCGGGACTCTACGGCCACGGCAGCATAATGCGAGGGGGCGTCAGTGCAGCCAAGACTTCGAATCTTGAACCTGCGAACCCCGCGGCTAATACGCGAGGAATTGGCAGCAGTCATAGCGGAATAGGTGGAGATACTTGGCTGAAAAGAGGAATGGCGAGTATGGACCCAGAGACGGTGAAGAGAGCGGGGAATGAGATGTATAAAAAGGGCCATTTTGGGGAAGCGTTGAGCTTGTACGATAGGGCTATAGCTTTGTCTCCGGCCAATGCGGCGTATCGGAGCAACCGGGCGGCTGCATTGACTGGCTTGGGACGGGTAGCAGAGGCGGTAAGGGAGTGCGAGGAAGCAGTGAGATTGGATCCGAATTATTGGAGGGCTCATCAACGTTTGGGATCTTTGCTTCTAAGGTGAGAATGTAGAAGATGAATCACCGTTTGGTTACATGGATGGCTTAAGTTGATTCTTGTGTTTTGGCTTGCTTGATTGCTGCGGGTTCATGCTAAATTTAGTGAATTATATTTTCACCTTTTTTTTTTTTTAATTCTTGGGCTAATGTGAGTCTTTATAATGTTCTTTCGATCTACATTGATGAGAAACAAGGTTGATATTTTCTCTTGTTGTGATGCTCTTCACTTGGTGGTGGTTACTTAATATTTGGGAGGTTTGTGAATTATCTATCTATTGGCAGACTGGATTTCTGAGAATTTCTCCTAAGTACATTTTCATAGTATTCTTCTTTGTTGATGTGTTAGATTTGTTCATCTTTCTTTCTTTCTTGTGGCTCTACTTACATGGCTTTTATCCTTAAACATTTTGTGTGGGGTTTTTATTTGGAGTTCATTTGATCTTGTAGTCAATTATTTTGCTTCATTTGGAATATAGATTGTGTTGTTTAGATTTTGGTTTTGGCACAGAAGCATGTGATGGCCAGTTCTCAGTTAGGTCTTTCAAGGACAAGTGGGTTTCGTATGTAGCCTTCTTAGTGATTGATTTTGATTATTGAGAAATCACAGCAACTCGGTTCAGGAGGTTAAGAGTTGAATGTTTATATTCGTGCTATATCCTAAGGTTCCCTTCCTCATTTTAAGGCCACGAGGTTTTTATCTATCCTTTGTTGGATGGTTTAGATTCAAAGATCGACTTTCTTTCAGTTTTTCCTAATGAATTTTAATATGGTTTGGGGAGGTTCTTTGATGCCAATTTTTGCTGGTTAGTATGACATTAGGTTGCTTGAACTTTCTGTTGTACTATGCCACCTTAAGCAGTTAATAATCAAATTCTTTAGATTTCTTAGCCATATTTACTCAAACTCTATCTTATTGCAGATTAGGACATATTGACGCCGCCAGGAAGCACCTTTATTTGCCAGGTTTGCAGCTAGATCCCATTGAGTTGCAGAAGTTACAAGCAGTGGAGAAACATATAAGCAAATGTGCAGAAGCCCGGAAAATTGGTGATTGGATAAGTGTATTAAGGGAAAGTGATGCTGCTGTTTCTGCTGGAGCTGACTCTTCCTCTCTGGTAAAATCCACATATAAGATTTTCTCTTTTTAACTTTTCCAATGTTGAAGCATGACAGTGGCTGAACTGGTTCATATTGAATTTACAGCTCTTTCTGTGTAGAGCAGAGGCCCTTTTGAAGCTGCACCAACTTGATGATGCTGAATCAGCCCTATCAAACATCCCAAAAGTGGAACCACCCTGTTCACAACTGACCAGGTTTTTTGGGATGGTTTCTGAAGCTTATCCTTTCTTTGTCAGAGCCCAGATTGACATGTCACTTGGAAGGTAAGTGCGAAAATGCTCTTCAACGGAAATAAGATAGCATTGAGTTTTTGGGTAGAGTGAGGACAGATGATGGATGTCTTGCAGGTTTGAGAATGCAGTTACAGCTGCTGAGAAAGCTGCGCAGGTAGATCCACGAAATGCTGAAATTGTGGCACTTCATAAAAATGTGAGATTGGTGACAAGGGCTCGTGCCCGTGGCAACGATCTCTTTAAATCTGAGAGGTTCACTGAAGCATGCTCAGCATATGGGGAAGGGCTCAGACTTGATCCTTCAAATTCTGTTCTGCACTGCAATAAGGCAGCTTGTTGGTTTAAGCTTGGGAAATGGGAGCAGTCCATTGAAGACTGCAACCGTGCATTAAGAATCCACCCTAGTTACGCAAAGGCTCTTCTTCGAAGGGCTGCTGCAAACAGTAAGGTAAACTGTCTGGTGTTAGATGCATTTGTTGCATTGCTTCTATACCCGTTAGATAGCGGACTCTAATGGATAATCTCACTGGAATGCAGCTAGAAAGGTGGGCAGATGCTGTGAAGGATTATGAGCTTCTAAGAAAGGAACTTCCAGATGATAATGAAGTTGCAGAATCTCTATTTCATGCCCAAGTTGCTTTAAAAAAGTCTCGTGGGGAGGAGGTTTATAACTTGAAGTTTGGTGGTGAAGTGGAGGAAGTATCAAATCTTGAGCAGTTCAGAGCTGCAATATCGTTCCCAGGTAAGTGTTTCCTTCCACATTCTTAGCTTACCTGCATTTCATATTCAAATTTTTAATCTGCAATTCTGTTGAGATGCAACTTCAAATTTCAGGCATTTCTGTTGTCCACTTCAAAACAACCTCTAACTCACAATGCAAGCAAATATCTCCATTTGTGGACACACTGTGTAGTCGTTACCCATCACTTAACTTCCTCAAGGTAAGTGGTTTACTTGTTAATCACGGAAGTCCCAAAGCAAACAGATGCCCGGAATTTCTTATGTGCAAATAATGTTGTTTTTATTAGGTGGATATTGATGAATGCACAGCAGTAGCAAATGCTGAGAATGTGAGAATTGTACCAACATTCAAAATATACAAAAATGGGAGCCGAGTGAAGGAAATCATCTGTCCAAGTCGAGATGTGTTGGAACACTCGGTGAGGCATTATAGCTGTTAGAAACTCATGACTGTATTGTAATTCTTCTTCTTCTTCTCTTCCATAATTTGTGCATTTCTTTCTTTCTTCCTGCACAAATTCTCTCCCATTTTGATGGGAATTCTTCCACTTCCTTCAAACCTTTTTCTCCCACCACCATACGAGGATTACCTGATACTTGTGACATAAGTCGAGCTACAAAATAATAATTAGCACCAATGCCAGAAGGAACCCCAGAGAGGTAGTTTAGTTTACTTTTTGCAGTTTCTATTAATTCATTCATTCCTCATTGCTCTGTGGTTCCTTGTTCTTCCTCCGTCCTTTTGTTATTCTTTTTTTCCCTTCCGTTTCTTTGTATTTTTCCATACCTCCGCATAGGCCGGCCAGCCTGTATCTGCGAGAATTTTGGGAGAGAAAAAAAAAGAATGGAGGACATGTACAATTTGATTAAAGTTGGGTTAGTTAGCTACAAATTAGAATGAAGGGATGAGGAGGGAGATGAAAATATTGAATAAAGAGAGAGGAGTGGGAGAACAGGCTGGTAGAAGAGGATCTTTACATGTATATATCTGTGATGATATTGTTGCAATGCAAGAACATTGGAAGGCATGAGGAAGACATGCTAGTTTGGTGGGTACTTAGTTACGGGGTTAGTGAAAGGAGGATGAAAAATGTTGCTATTAATACTGTTGTTTCTCTTCTCAACCATTTCATCAATAAAAATTCTCAATTTTTTCTTTCCTTGTCTTAACCTTCCCCTATTTTTGTTGTTTGGTGAATATACGTATATGTGTGTATCTGAAATCTCAATCATGAAGGTGGAAAATTTCCACGGTACAAAAGGGTTACACTGGTCTTTTCGGGTATGTAGAGGTGGGTTTTGGATGTTGATGAAAGACAAAAGGGATTTGATTTGAATAGAGACGGGAGATAGAGAAATATTTTTGTTAGTTCATCATGTTTATGTGGGCATTTAATAAATAAATAAATAATTGAAGGGCGCATGTGGGCATTTAATTTAAATTGAAGTATCTTATTCTTGCAAGAAAGAAACCACCAAAGTCAATAAAGAAAAAGGGCAGAGTGGCCGGTGGTCTTGGCTCTGTTTTGACGGTGACCTGCCACCACCCTCTTCTCTTCTTACATTGATTGTCCTTCTGCCACCCAGCTTGTCACTTTGGTAATTGTCCAGGGATAGTCTTGGTAACTCATAGATTCCCTTTTTACGTATCTTCTATGGGTTTGTTTTTATTTATTTATAATATATATATATATATATATGTTCTACAATGAACATGAAGTTACAGAAAAGCACAAGAAAATAATAGATAGCAGCAAAGCCAGGCCAGAACTAGAGAAAACATCCGTTGCCAACCCAGTTAAGATAAGAACAGCCAGAGAAATCGTTCTTTGACGTTTTAAATAATAGTCGAGAAGACCTATGAAAATTGTAGGCATTCGCACAAAAGCAGCTATATACTCCGAGGCAAGAATATAAGCCTTTAACTCATCATGCTGGTCTTAGTTTTATCAAGTCTAAAAACTCCCAAACCTCGTCATCTTTTGTTCATCCCCAAAGAACCCCAAACACTAAACACACCCCTAACTGTTTTAGAAGCTGTCTAAACTACCCTCCACTTTAAAAACAAGTCACCTACACTTTCCAACTCCACTTACAAAGCAAGAAAACATGGTCAACTAAACCAGCTCCCTAATCACACAAACCACAAACATTAGCAGCCTCTAAACGTGTAGATATTCTATAATCAGAAACTCTCTCTTTTCAGTGAATGCTAAAAGAACTTCTATTTTATGCGTTACATTTATTTTTCACACATTAGTTTTCAAATTCTAAGCTCTCCAACCTACAAACTATAACCCTAACCAATGAACGAGATGATTTTCATTTCCTTAATGCCACTTAACCCTAACTCTTCCTCTCTTTTTGGCAAATAGATTGGCTTTCAAGATATTGAATGCACTTTACTATGATCTTATAAATTGCCTCATAAAATTTTTTTAATAATTGACACAATTCATACTATCCGCACTCGTTTCATACAAACTTTTAATTCTCCATTTTATCAAAAATCAAATACCATGTCACAAAAGATGATAGATTGGCTCCCAATAGAGATGGGCACAGAGGAGTATGAAAGGAGTACATCAGTTATCATCAATTTTCATACTTAGCTCTGCTAATAAAAATATAAACTTATATTCACTCCATATCCAAAGTGGGTAAAAATTTATTTTCCTAAACTCACCCCACAAGTAAAACTTTGTACCTGTTTAAAAAATATTATACACAATATTTAAATAATTTTAATTACAAATACTAATATATTTAAAAATAATATTTAAATATAATCCTCAATAGTAAATATAAAATAATATTATAAATATACAACATTAAATATTTATCAATCAAAATTTAATTAACTTAAAAGTAAAATTAAAAAATTTATTATTATTATATATGGAGCATAACATATATATAAAGTGGATAAATTATAAAATTTATATCTAATTCATACTTGTTTCCAAGTTTTTAATTTTTTTACCCACACTCATCTTATGTTTGGTTTACTTACAAGTTTTTAACTGATCCTATCTATCTAGAGCTTAAGACAAGAACAAGTTAGCGACTGACTTTTTCCAACATCTCAAAAAGAAACCAAATCATTTTTATAAGGCACCACTATCAACCCCAATTCAAAAAATTTTGCCTCTTACAAAGGCTATCTTAAAAAAGATCATTTCCCAATATTAAAAAATAAAGAGAGAAAAAAGTTAGAAAAAATATATCAGTTAAAAATTCTAAACAATTTAGCCAAAAAATTAAAAAATATAATATATATATATTTCCAATTTTATTTTATAAAATTATTAATTTCCAAGGTTTTTATATATTTTGTTTACATTTGCATTATTTATGTTCATTACGTGCCACCGTTAATGCATGGAGAAGAAGGGATGAGCAACAGAAACTATTTAATCCATAAAATAATAAAGTTTTTATTTTTTAGAAAAAACAAAAAGTAGAAAGCGAAATGATGTTACGAAGAAAGTACAGTAACATCGTGCATAATTAGGAGGGGGGCGTACGGCGTACGATAAAAGATGTAATTTAAATGATGATTGGACAAAAATCAAATGTAGCCGTTGCCGATCAATTTTGGCCTTACACACACACACACATATATATGTATGCATGTATGTATGTCTAGATAGTAAATATAATTCAAGTGTTGGGGTTTTATTTATTCAAGACGAAGTTGCTCTGCTGCTACAAGCTTTTACCGGCCGCGACCATTCAAGCTGATTATCATTTTATAATATATATATATATATATATATATGTGTTTGTGTGTGTTTACAACATTTGAAAAATGATAAGGTACTTGGCATGCAAGGTAAAATTATACTTTTGGAATTGACGGGGACGTAGTGGTCATTTTCAAATATTATAAGTGGGAGAAATTAGACTGGAAGTTTCGTCCTCAGTCGTTTTGAGGAAGTAATTATCATCCCCTCCCACATGAGAATCCCAAAGCTCTCATGTTGCGTGCAGAGGAGATTCCTTATAAGAAATTCAAATTGATCAACTGTTAACACTAGGGTTTATGTTCCCACTCTGCTTAAAGACATGAATGTAATGAATTTAGGGAACCACGACTCAGAGAGATCAACCACCACAAGTCATACAAACCTCACAACTCCGACGTTAATTAAAGTAAGTTTCATACCTCAGAATCATTCACATAACAATGAATAACAACAAGTCATGGCCATTCTTTGTTTTTTACCTGGAAATACTCAATAACCAAAGATCCTAGTGGTACTAGCTCAGCCATGAGCTGAACCAGGTTTTTTGGTCTAAATAAAAATCTGAACCATAGTTATAACAAACTAGACCAGCTGATCCAATTCCGAACCAGGTCCTTAGGCAGTTTCATCCTCAACTATATCAAATAAATATAAACTTTGATCAGAATTCGGACAAACTTGTATTCATCCTTCTATATGTGACTAAGAGCAGCATACACGCACAAAAGACTACTCTCTACATGGTCATAAGATGGTTCCACTTCGAGCGACATCAATAATTAAAGAGAAGGAATAAGAGGCAGCAAGGAGTAGGAGATACTAACTTATTCACATTATACCACCAAAAAACAAAACTTATTCACAACATTCACACCATGGTTTCACAAATTCCATAGTTACTATATGGTTTTAGAATATTCCGTTTAGCACTGAACTATACGGAACAACTTGTCTCATCTAATCATAGTATTCAATGACAAGACTTCCAAGAGAAGAAAACAATTAACAGGCGGTAAACCGGAAGCTTTTGAAAATAAAATTCTGTTTCAACATTCTTCTACTTTGCATTTGAAATCCACATGGAATACAATACATTGCTTGAAATGTTTGTAAAGACAAGAGTTCCAACCAAGTTATCACGCGCCACTTGCATATAAACGGGTCCATTCCTTTGCTGCAGGATTCAGTGAGCGTGTATACATGGCGCCAATTAAAATGGACAGCAGAATTAAACTTGTTAGTTGTGACTTCTAATATAAAGCAGCCAGGTAATAACGTTTAAGAAACTTACGCAAAAGCTAATTACAAACTTTACCTGTTTCAACAGCCTCTGCCTCATTCGTCTTCCAGTGCTTAGCAATGTTCTCAGACAGTGGATCATCTGGGTTTGGAGCACTTAAAAGCGCTTGAATACTTGAATCACAAAAAAGACAAAAAAGGTCAACCAGGAAAAGATCAAGTACGAGTAATATTTCTTATTTTCTGAAATAAAAAATATAAGTATTTCACTAGTTACAGGCATCAAGGGATGTCAACCCATATACAAAAGATATTTACAGTCTATACAGATTTCATTAAGGTAACCAAAGTCCTCAATAGAGATTAACAAGTTGCCAGTTACCAGACAACCCAAGAACGAGTAATATTACACTGAAAGTTGTTTGTGCCATACTAGACATTCCTTCAGCAAATGAGTTTTTATGGCCACATCGCTTAAAATCAACTTTTTGCTTTCCCACATATATAAAAATGTGACTCTCGTGAAATTTTTCTAAAACCACATAAACACAGTCCTTTCCTCTTCAGTCAACAATTACCATCTTAGAGAAAATAAATTAAGACATAAATTACACTCTACTACCATAAAATTACATCTAATGATACCTCAAAAGCACAGTCCGTATCTGGAGTGCTGGGCTCCACTTGTCTTTCAGAATATCCAGGCATATCCTTCCAAGCTGCATGAAGAAACTCATATTATAGAAGGCAAGAACCATGAGTTACAAGTGAAGATTAAATATAGAATACTTAAGGATCATAGCAAACCTTATCAATGTTAGGATGATATATCTTGGTCAAAAATCGAACCTGTTACAACTAAAATAATTAGAAAATAAAGTACTACGTACACACTGAGGAAACAGTCAATCAAATTATGGGAGAAAACTTAAATGCAAACCTAAAACCAGAATAAAACACACCGGTGGAAAAAAACATAACTAGGAAAGAGATGAAGAATCAGCCAAAGAATCACTTCAAATGCTGTTCTAAGTGAACTACCAACTCTGCTCAATACCTGCCCCAGGCCTAAGTAGATTTTCCTTTACATAACACCTAAAAACCCAATGCCTTAAAAATGCCAGACTCACGAGAACATGACAACTCCATAACAAGCTCAAGCCATTTTTGCCCTTTCCACTTAGACATCTTGAGTTTGATAATGTTTTAGGATATATAAAACAGATCCATCTATATTCTACAATGCTAGATCACGGCTTGGAATCACCCAAATCAGATACATTTAGAAACAAATTTTTAATGACAAAGCAAACGCATCAACCCATGCAAAAATTTGAAAATAAACAACGGTTATTGGAAATGTCAATTCCGGAGATCATTTTCTAGGATGAAATACGAATCATTTACCTAGGCAACATTTAAAAAGGTCCAAAGATTCATTTTCAATTCAATTTGCCTAGGAAAAATGTATTTTATTTTAAGTGCTTCTAAAAGATCTTTTAAAAAATTCAACATCATAAGTCAAGTTTAGAAGGATGTCCCAATCTAAAAGACAACCTAACCAAATTCATAATCAATGCACATAACAGATCAGTTTTTTGTTACCACATCATGCCTCGTATGGTACTATGTCTTGCAATATACGAGAATAAACATGCTCATGTTAGGATCAAACCTAGATATCACACCTATGATCTTTTTTAAAAAAATAAAAAGTGTGAACTTTATATTGATATAGGCACAAAGAGGATGCTGTCTATGTACAATACTTACAAATCAATTAAGGTTCGCTAAATCCTCCCTAGAATACTTAGGATGACCCTTTAAAACAAAACCGAAGATCTGGAACTATCTATTCTTAAGAATATCAAAACCATCAACATCTTCAACCTCATAAAAAACCCTTCTATTCATTTCCTTTCACACCATCCAAAGAATAGTAAGTTAAATAACCTCCACTTGTTTCTTGGTACCAACAATGCCCTTCCAAGCCTACAACTCTTCCCTCATTGATCCTGCCATCACCCAATTAATATCAAGCAACCCATAAACTATGCAAGAAATGATTGCAAGTCTCTTTCGCCCTCTTACACAGATAGCAAGCATTGACCAGTACCTTACCCCTTTTTCTCATGCTTAAACAGCTTCTTGTAGAATGATTTCACTGTGAAGACCAACTTGATACCAAGCTCAACTGAGGAATGTCAAGAACACCGTCCAGCATAACAGGGGAGAGGATGTGCAATAATTCATCATATTCACTGATCTCCCAATCATTCAAGTTTCTTGACACTACCACTTGCCATACTTTTCCCCACATGCCTAGGATCTCCTAAGCACCATGCTTAAGGTGAGGATTTGATTACATCACAAATCATCCAGAAGTCCTGCTGAGAAAATTCTTTCGATATAGCTCTCAGTTGTCGTGAAAGAAATTAGAGTATCTATTCCCTATTTAAACTAACCTAAACATGAATAGAAACCCTAATAGGAAACATAAAAGAAGCGATCACAACAAACTGTACATTAGCAAAAACATAAGTACACAAAATCTGCCAACCCCCAAGCTACAGTTTACTGTTAAAAAGTGTTAGCACAAAAATTAGGGCTGCAGTCAAGAAGGCATAGCTCATGTCATCTGATGCAGATTTGTCTTTGGGTGAGATGTGCCAGACGGGCTGATTCAGGTTAAAAGCCAACTGAAAAACATACTTGAGAATGTTGAAAATTTCAATTACATGAATACATCCAACAAAAAACAAGACTATGAACAACACAATTTATTTTACTTCAAAAAAAATGAACACCCCAATTTAAACACAATTAACGGAATTCCAAAACCTAAAAGAATTGACACTACAAGGCTTTCTCTTGGAGATAGAGGGTTTTCTGGGCGATTTTCCTGGCAAAAAGGCTTTGAGGCAAGGTGATCCTATGTATCCATACTTTTAATAGCTATGGAATTGCTTTCTTTCTTCACTTCTAAACAAGGCTGCCAAACAGGCCAAACATGGGATATAACATAACTTGACAACATAACCTATAAACATCGGTAGGATATGTCATGCAATTTGAATAGGTGTGGGGAAGTCAAATTGGATAGAGTAAACTACTTATGGCTAAGACTTTTTTTTAATTGCTTATTTGGTGTACATTTAGTAAAAAGGTAAGTAGGACAGCATAAAAAAGAAAATAACTATTCTACTAAAATAAACTACCTATGGCAAAGACACTTGTTTTATTACTTGTTTGGTTATACAATTAGTAAAAATGTGAGTAGGACAGTATAAAAAAGAAAATAAATATCACTCTATGCTCATGTATAATTAATATAATACCTATAAAATATAATAAGATAACAAATCAATAATATAATATATACTAAATTTATTAGGAGAGTAGAAAAGAAAAAATAACTGTAATAACATTTATTATATACTTGTGTATTGATGTGATACATTATAATACTAATAAAATATAGTAATATGATATGTTGAAAATATTTTCCAGTTAAAATATTAAATTTATTACATTATATTAAGGAAAATACATTTAATATCTATACTAATAAAATGAGTAGAAGTTCAATCTCATCTCCACCCCAGAGATTACATGACAATAATCCTACACTATTGTTAAGAACCCATCAGATATTTATGAAACCAAATGACTAACACAAGAAGGAAAAATCATTTGGCTGTCAAAATAAGGATCCAATTATTGACAATGAAATTGAAAATGCAAGGATGACTGTGGCAACTAAGAATTCTAGGGGAGGCCTAGAATCAGTGGTCATGAGGCAGTATCAATGGGGGTTAGGGGAAGGCTTAGAACTAGTGGTATTGGCTGCTTAGGAGCTGGGCGTGAGGTCATCTGGTGACTCATATAGCAAAAAAACAGGCTGAAGTTTGAGACATGGGTTAGATATGTGGCTGCTAATGACAGAGGTCCAAATCAGGGGTAGCTCCTCATAGCTTTTAGTGGGGCCAATTGACACAGTTAATTTTTCCTTTAAAAAGGGGTTTTTCCAAAATAAGGTTTTTCTTCTGTAACTCAAGATATTTTATTAAGGTACCAATACCTCACAATTTTCGGAAATATTTTGTCACCAATTGGCTATCATTTTGTTACCACTTTGGCTATTGATTGTCAGCCAGGGGCTTTGTGTCAAAAGCCAATAGTAACAAATGATAACCAAAACAATAAAAATATAAGCAAATAATGACAAAATAAAGCCAAATATGCTAGTACTGCTGCTTCCAAACAGGAGAAAGTACTTCAAAATACCCAATATATATATATATATATAATATGTGATTATTTAATAAACAATAGTTTCTATAATACAGGTTTGGTAATTTTATTATACTGATCATAATAAAATGTATTTTGACCCCAGCAACCATGATAAAAATGATGTTGACACCACAATAATTTTAATCATTCTAACTCATTTATCGTTATAAATTAATTATTGACCCTACGTCTAAAGAAGTTTTGCTCCACATCAGGTTTCAATATATTATTTGAAGCTCGGGGATGATGTCAACCCACTTTGTCTTCTCTTCTGGACATTAAATGGATAGGTAAGTGATGTAGACATGGGTCCAAAAGGCATCAAAGAGAAGCTTGAAGAAGATATTACAATGTCAGCTGGTCTAATTACAAGATTTCAAACCAAGAAGATAAAACATACATTTCAACACTTTGTACAAAGATAGATACAACAAGAACTTAGCACATGTAAACTATTTGAAGAATCAAATAAGCCAAAGATCATTAATTTCGTCCAATTGTGTGGGCAGAATTTAGAATGAATGTTTAGGATCATTTTGGTAATTTCCTAAATAATTAAATTATATTCATGTTTCCTTAGTTCATTTTTCTCTAGGTTATTTAATATTATGTTCCCCTAAATCATTTAATACTATATTCTTCTAAGTCATTTAATACCATGTTTTCCTAGGTCATATAATACCATGTTTCTCTAAATCATTAAATTACGTCATGTTTCCTTAAATCATCTAATTATGATCATTTGACAAAATCCAGATGTTTTAGCCTATAATATCTTTTTTTCAATGTAATATAACACACTTCAATTATTTGAATGAATTTCATTGTCTTTGGTAGAACTTTAACAATTGAAAATTCTTATTTTTCTTGTTGCATCAAGAATTGAGTCAACTTATCAAGTTATCTTGTTGTGTTTATTCATTCTTTCTTCTTTCGTCTCAATCACTCAATTTCTCAATTACAGATTAGTTGCGAGTTTGGTAGAGAGGACTTGTTTAGGCTTCTAAGTTATTTATGCTAAATGTATATGTGGGGTTCTTTATGTAATTTTTGATCCTCAGATTCCGCATCAGTAAGACTCTATTACGCTACCCAAATAAATCAATCAACCAACCAAACATCCTCATAATGTATAATGTAAGCAAAAGGGCCCATAATCAAGGCAGGTCTGCCATCGTCTCCATGAAAAAGTATTCTCTAGATTAATTGGTGATTTGTGTTCATTCTCTAATAGAATATGCAATTATTTAGTGAAAGATAGTTTTTTTATTACAGGTTTGGTAATTTTATTATACTGGACATAATAAAATGTATTTTGACCCCAACAACCATAATAAAAATGATGTTGACCCCATAATACTTTTAATAATTCTAACTCATTTATCGTTATTCTTAATTTGCACTTTATTGACCCCACATCTATAGTAATCTAGCTCCACATCAGGTTTAAACAGATTATTCGAAGCTCGGGGGTCATGTGAATCCACTTTATTCTCTCTTCCAAACATTAAATGGATACGGTAAGACTCTCTTACCTATCCAAATCAATCAACCAAACATCTTCAAATTGTAAGCAAAATAGGCCCATAACCAAGGCAAATCTTGCCTCGTCTTGACAGAAAGGTATTCTCTACAATTAGTAAATGACCTGTGCTCATTTCTGATAGAAACTTTGGACAAACAGCCAGACAAAAACAATTTTAGAAGTTACAAGTCCTTACCAAATTAAATAACAATTAATGTGGGTTTCATATATAGATAAGGATCACAGACCAGTGATGCACACAAAACATAATTTTGGATATCCTAGGAATGCTTCATAGATCTTTCCTTAATTTACACAAATAAAGTATTAGAATAACCCAGCATTACTATTGACCACATCCCAAGAAAGCTGCTCTGTCACTTGTACTCTGGATAAACTTCAGATTAAGGTTTAACTGACCCATTAAAATACAAGTGTCCCTAGAGACTCCACCCCTTGCTTCTATATGCTTAAAGGCCAAAGTAACTGAAACTCAAGCAAACAAAAATATATATCCAAGTACTAATGAGCACATCCACCAAATATTTTAGAGCAAATATTTCATGTTAAAAGCAAAACCAAATAAATCAAAATAACTTCCCAAAGCCAAAATAGTCAAATTACCAACAGAATGTTCTTAAGTTCAAGTACCTTGGGAGCAGCCATAGGATATTCCTCAGGCAAGAAGAGTTCCAATTTGAAAACCCCACCTAAATAAAAGAAACATGCAAAAACAAATATATGCATCAGAAAACGAAACATAGCTAGCCAATTAATTATAGAATAATTTTGAAAAAGCAAGAGAGAAAGGAAAAAGGCACATTTCACTCTAAAAATCCTAAAATATAACGGCCAAGTAACAAGAGGACACAGAACAGTGCCTAACAACAGTAAGAATAATCGAACTTGCATGCCTCAGAAACTACCATAAAAGAAAGCAATTGGACAATATCATCCCTCTTATCAAAGTTCCTACAGACCATTCTTCGCCGAAGCAGTTTCTAAAAGTTAAGCGGTCTGGATTTCATAATATAATACACTCCACACGGGCCTAAAGAAAATAGATTACTTGGCTCAGAGGTGCATTTCAGCATCTTCCTGCATCCTATTAGTCCTTAAGATATATTAGGTGATGCTACCAAAACCATAAAAATGATTGACATTAGTCCATGTCCTTTAAAAATGAATTAATAGAAAATTAAGAAGCCCCGCGACACTTTTTATTTATTTTTCCTTAACACTATAAAATGTAGGCCAATTAAATTAAAACTGTAGTGTGATAAAACATGGATTACTAATGAGATTATCTTCGAAGAAGTTGAGCAGACAAATGACCAGCAGGAGAATTTTCTTAGAGCAATAAGATTCAAAACTCGTATAGAAAAAAATCAATAAGGTGGAGTATGCAAATATATGAAATCTAACTACCGAATCAAGATGAGATAATCTGTTTTCTGATTTGTCAATATTACCAATCAACAACAAGATTTATACCTCTGTGACTAAGTCCGCGTCTTCCACACCACAGAAGGAGAAAAAAGAATTGACAGCATGAAGAAACATCTACTTAAATTTTAATTACCCCTCACGAATCCTACATATTTGCCTTTTCATCTTTGGTTCCCATTTTTGCACCAGATATATCAAACATTTACTTTCAAGCCGTAAGCTCATTGAGTTAAAAATATACATATATACATACCAGAACAAAACCAGCCGGTTCATTTTTTTTAAAGGAGGAAAATGGAATAAAATGACAAGAAAACGTGCTTTAGGAACAATGTTCTCAAAACATGTTGCATATTATATGCCTATATACTCTTTTTCAGAAACAGAAGTACAAATCATTTTACAGCTAAAAATAGCGATCCCGTGAATGATACAAACAAAATGAACCATAAATTTCAAACTTAAAATAGATGAAGCAAGGTAAAATCCATCCATAGATACGCTACCTTCATATGGTGATTGTGTAGGACCAAGTATCATGACATTAAAATATCGCATGTTGTCCTCTGATGGAGAAGCACTTATTCCCGGTGCTGTATTAGCGGATCAAATAATTTATCAAACCCCTTCTTTCTCAAAAGAGATTTTAACGTTGAGAAAACCCCAAAAGAATTGCAAATCCAAGTAAATTGTGACATGTAAAAATCGTACTTTTTTAATGAAATAACTTAACGAAAACAAACAAAGCCCACTAAAACCCCAGACAAAGAGAAAGAATAATACCCGGCTCACTGAGGAGACGTTGAGTTTCCTGTTGGATCACAATAAAGACAGAGTTAACAAGAAAATCGCGGCATAAAAATGAAAAAGTGGAACACGAAATGACCCAAGAAATGATACTATTAGTCCCTGACAACGATCCTCGCGCTGATAACTTAACGAAATTCAGTGATAAACAAAGAGAGAGGCGGGGAATCAAATAAGTACGTTTTTGTTGTATCGATAATCGTCCGATTCTCTTCGGAACCAAACAGGACCAGCGATCAAAGGAAAATTGTGCAGGGGATCGAGAATAAGAATGACGATAGAGAGAACAAACCTTGATGATTCTTCGAGGGAGATTACTGTTTGCCATTGTTGAGTGAGATTGATTGCAGACAACGGGAAGTTAGGGTTTTTAAGAGAGAGAGAGAGAGAGAGAGGGAGAGGGGGGGAGAGGGAGAGGCTTTTATCCCGGTGAAGAGAATAAAACTACTCCCAATCTGTTGGCTTTTATTACTTGTGTTTTAAAATGCCCAAACGCAACCATTTTCAAAAAGTATTTAATTAAATATAATTTTTAGAAATGCAGAAACTGTCTAATTTTCCAACTCACAAGCAGTTTAGATATGGTTAGTTATTTAATAGTAATAATAATTTTATTCTTATAACTCTCATAATCATAATAAATTGGGTTATTTTAAATTAATATTGTTTTCTTATTTAATCATTAAACCGTATTCTAATAAATTGTTTTAAAATCCAAACTTGTATGGATTTATTTCTTTTTCCCTCAAAATCATAATCACATCAATTCATATAAATGATTAAAATATTTATAATACGATGAATGGATGGACCGAGTGAGATTAAGAAATTCGGGGGCCTCTTCTAAATGAATAGATTTAGCATCTCGATGTAGTATTTTTTTTTTAATTGCGGCTTGATTATACGATTTGAGAATAGATGAAAAACATGTATAATTTAAAATTATTTTTGAAAGAAAACCTATTTCAAAAATAGAAAAATATATATATATAATTAAAAATTATCTTTATATATCATTTCATTATCGAACATATCTTACTTGTTAGCTTTTAATCTCGATTCATAAATCAAAGTTATACGTTCTGCAATAGTTTCATCACTTGAATTAAAAATTCTTATTGTTAAAACCCTTCAATTATTTAATAAATATTGTTACTTTTGTACTCAAATTGAACATGTTATATTTATGAAATTCTGTATGTCACTTTAAATATTATTATATTTTACTAATTTTTCTTACATTAGTTTTTTGAGAATATAAAAATGTTATCAGTTAACTATATAAAATTATATCAACAACAATAACAAAACAACTATATGATAGTTTTGATCACTAAAATTAATAAGTAAGGCGAAGAGCTAACCGTAATCAACCACCACAATTAATAGTACATATAAAGCTAAAAGGTAATCCTCTACGCACAAGATGAATTCGAAACAAATTTTTCTAAAATTAGAATCCAATTTGTTGTTGTAAAAAGTAGACTCGAACCTACTCTAAATAAAAGATGAGTTAAATTTTTTGAATGTTTTATTTAATTTATAAGTTATTCAAATCAAATTCAACCCATAATAATATATGCTAATTATATTTATCTAATTTATTGATATAATATATATATATATTTATTAATACTTTAGGTATATTATTCTAAAAAATATCTTAGGTTTATTACATTTGTGTTGTCGGGTAATTCATCCAATCCATAATAACGATAATAATTTATCATTGATAATAATAAGAATAATAGAGACAACATGGTTTTGAAAGTCAAGATAGGAGGCAGCTCGGGCTCGCGTTGCTCTAACGCCAACTCCGAGAATGGTATTTTGGGATGGTAGATGTGGCCCACAATGCCACCATCCTATTTTCTTCATATATATATACATACATACATGTATTATATAATACATATACGTATGCTATTTGAAACCTGGAATTAGGTTTCCCCAGTTAATTTTAGTCATGATAGTAAATATATCATATCAAAACCAGGATATGGCTTCATTCATTATTAGTTTAAAAAAAAAAAAAAACTTGAACTGGTGCAAGTACTCCAAATATGTTTTAATATTCCAAGAATTCCCCTTACATTAGTACAAAAAAATGGGCATCACAATACATAATTAATCATAAATGCCAATACATGTCTGAAGATATTGAAGGTTAAAGAGAACCCAAATGGAATATAATTATATATGTATGTATAGAAGATGATGGAGCTTAAAAGAGAACGTCAACAGGAACAATGTCCATTTCTTTGAGAGCTTTAACACAGTCGGGTGAGACATTCTTAGTCATGAACCCAAGAGGATTTGCATAGCGAACCGGCTCCACCACACCCACATTGTTGGTCAACACAGGCCTGTCGCCAGGAACTCCTGTCATGATCTCACTGCACTCTGTGTTTCCACTAATCACCGCCTTGATTTCGCATATTTCGTCTTGGTGATCGCCTTCCACCGCCAGTAGGTACTTCCCGTCCTTGTCCGTTGCTGCCTCTATCGAGTAGCTCACCGTGTCATTTACCGGGTTTCTGCATTCTAGTCGAACCTTTGACCCTGCATGTCACGGCATGTACTTTTTTTATTTGTTATAATTCAATTTTTATTTGTATCCATATAAAATTAAGATTTAACAGATATTATAGGAGAACATATATGGATCTAACGTGGGTTATGATGAGATTATGATTGGTCAATTACCAGCGATGTTTTGGCTGAGTTTGGTCTCGAACATGACACGACAAGGATCGCAGTAAATCCTACCTTCCACGAAGAGATAATCTTTAGGGGTGGCAAAAGCAATGGCGAATAGGGAAGAGAGGGCAAAAGCACCGGCAATGACGATGGCGGGGACCGGCATACGCTTTGCCATTTCTTTTTCTTGTTAACTTAAAATTTCCTCTTGGGCTCAAGAAATTCCTTTACATGTTCTGTCTCTTCTTATAAGAGATATGCTTTTTACTAGAACCATTCAATTTTTACTATTAACAACGATGAAGACTCGTTCTTTAAATTTTATTTTGATTTGTATTGCATTGTTAATATAACTAAATTAATTACTTCTACTAAAAATAGAATCAATTAAATAGTTAAAGCAATAACTGATAAAAAAAATTTAGTAAATCGATTTTATTAAATACTAAAAAAATCAAATCAATGTTTATAAGATATAAATTTAAATTTACGTGGAACATACTATTTTTGTAATCAAATTGAATCTCATTTAAATATGAAACAATCAAAATCTCTTTTCTCCAAAGTCTTCGAAGCAATTAAACTTCACATATGCAAAAAAGTTCACGATCAAAACTTACCAAGCAATCAAGTACACAGCGTTTTTCATGATTAAAGCAACCAACTTACATGAAAAATCAAGTGTTCAAACCCCTTAACAAGGACAAAGTTGGTCACACTTCAAATGTACTTTAAAAAGAAAAAAAAAAAAAAAAAACAAACAAGTCTCTGAACATAACATTTTTTTATCATTAACCCATCATGATTCAATCTTTTTAAAATTAAGTGAGTCCATCATTTAATAAACGAATATATTTAATTCAATTATATTTTATTTTTAAGCAAAAATATACAATATTTAATATCATTGTTAAATAATAATAAAATAAAAAACCCTTATAATTTTATTCATTATCGACAACAGTTAAATAAATAAAAAGATGTATATGATCATACCTACCAAATTGTCTCTTACGAACAATGGGATAAAATAGTAGTATGAAATAGAAAAGCTTTTCGAATAAAATGTGTTTCTCATTTTTGTTAAACAAGATGGTTCGTTGCTCATTGCTGTCCTAAACGACATGGTCTCTTCGATAAAACGAATTTTCTTTGAAGCTTCACTTTGTGTAATGAACGAGATACCAAGATGAATATGGGAAGTGGAGTACTGGATCCTGCTCGTGTATTCAATACATATAAATTGGATAACTTCATTGTATTTCTTCAAGGAATTGAAGCACATGAAGGAGCACAGGTTTCTGCAGATCCATTTATTTTCTGAAAGTCTTGTCCTTTGCCCTATACTCACCAAATCTCTCTCCTCCGCCACTGTTCTCTCACCCATGGCTTCTTCTCTCAACACAGCAAACCTCCTAAACCCTTTATTTCCTCTCTTCACAAACACATTTCTCACATTCCAAGACCCTAACGCCTCCCCAGCAATCAAATATCAACGA